TGCACGGGGTTCTGCAGAGAATAGACTGGGAGCATGGTCTTCATATCGAGGGCTAAGACGCGGCATGTGTTGGTGGCAATCAGGAGCGTCGACTGTGCTTCGACGCGGAAGTGCTCCATCCACACAGCATACTCGACAGTGCCATCCTCAGCCAGCGGCAATTGATACTCACGCACGAGCTGAAGTTTCCCGTAGCGAACGTTCCCATTGGCGTTGTGATAGTCAACTTTGACCGCATGGATACTACCATCACTTGCCCCAGTGATGAAAGTGTGGGTGTTTTCCACAAATGCCAATGACTTTACCTTCGCTTCGGTGGAATGCCGGTACGTTTGACGAGAACGAGGGGTGAGGTTCTTCTCAAGGCGGGTCGTGTCCCAGATCTTTGCAGTGCCATCATCAGAGGCTGTGACGAAGAAGGCATGGTCTGGCGCGACCACCACCCGATTGACAGGTCCACTGTGCTCCCCAAATACCGTCACAAGGCCACCGGTGGGTTTCCACACTTTGCTGGGCTCCTGTCCGCTGGCTTTCATCATCGGCTTTTTGGTATCCACTTCCTTGACATAAGGACCGAGGTCGAAGAAGTCCGTGGGGTAGTTTTCCGCGAAAACCGAGTCAAGGAGGCGGAGAACTACCGGGTCATTCCCAGCATAAGAGTGATTTGCATGATACTGCTGTGGGCCACGTTCCAGCGCTGTCCTTACAGGGAGCGTGGGAGAAGCAACTGCTTGTTCATCTTCGCGTTGCGAAGGAGAATCGACTTTGCCAAAGGCATTCGCGGGGCTTGTGCCCGTTTCAGCGTATGCTTTGGCAAAATCCCTACGGTTGAGCAAGCTCATGGCGCTCGACTTTCTCTGTACGCCACTGGCCAACCTTCTTATATTAGGATTCTCCGCATCGGTGGGCGTTGATGAGCTATCTTGTCCCGGGCTCTCGCGACCCCCTGAGATTCTTCGTTCAGCGTCCGAACTGGGAGGCGAGGCAGGTCCCGTAGCTCCAGGCGAAGATGCAATTGGCGATGGAGCAGGAGAGTTCTCAGACCTGATATTGTTCACAGCAATTGGGCGTGGGATTGTCAGATGGTCCGTTAGCTGGCTCCTCGAGCGAAGATGCTTCCGGCGGGATTCAGGTCTGTTGTCAATAGACGTTGAGGCATCAAGCAAGGCATCGGTGATTGTATGTGGTCTTCGGTCTTCAGCCTTAGCATTCTCCGCATTCCCGAGAGAATTTGTGCGAGGCCGGGTGTTTTGTGTTTTGTCGAAAAAGACGGTCTGTGGCGTAACTCCATACTGGGTCAAAGTGATGACGCTATTCAAAGGAGAAGTCCCCGTTGCGTTGTCCTTCGACCGGCGGGCGATGACCCTCCAGATGAACTCCTTGAGTGCGAGGAATTTCAATTCGTCCTCCTGGCCCATTCCAATGTTCCTCAGTCGTGCCAGCCACTGTTCATCCTCTTCATTCCTCGGTTGCGTACTCATCGACAAGCTCGAACTCTTTTGACCCCATCTGGGAATGGTACTATCTGTTCCGACGAACGCGAAACTCGCTTCACGGGATGTTGCCTTCCAAAAAAGACCCTTTTCGACATTTGACGCCCAAACGAATGCAAGTTCATACACATTTCTCGAGAGTGGTCGTTTGAGAGCGTCGAGTAGCTCACCCTCAGTGAAATTAACGATCTTGACTTTCAAGAACGGCTGAACAAGCGGGGTCAAGATAGAGTATTTATCTGCCACCGAAAGAAATTTGGCTGACGCGATGATGAATTGGACAGCCGCCTCACGGACCCAAGCGTTCGGGTGCACCAGGAATCGGACTACAATATTGATCAGCTCCCAAGTCGTTGAGCGTTGAAAAAGCCCAAGACCAGCCATTGCTGCCAACGACCTGAGTACCCTTTCGACGACGAACTCCTCCGGATCAGTCATCGACTGTACCATTAGCGGCAAAATGTACTGCTCTAAGCTAGTAGTGCCAACGTAAGCTGCAACCCCAATCACTGCCTCGAAAAAGGCACATTTCAGAATCCAATCCCTATCGTTGAGATAAGTATTTAAATGACTCAGAATCACCTCATTAGTCTTGAGATTACCGAAAAACACGCAAAGCTCTGACACGGAACCCAAAAAGGCGCGACGAACTGATGCGTCGCTATCAGTCAACATGGCTTTGGTATGTGCCTCGAAGTATTCGAGGAGATCAACCCTCGCAACATCGTAGAGGTTGTGATATGTCGCATCTTCTGTCCATCTGGGCTCTGATCCAACCGGTATCAAAGCTGGAAGACGTGTATCAGAACGCAGGGCTTGAATCATGTCCAAGAACCTCAAGGATGAGTGGGCAAGCGACGCAATACATGATGCGTATGCCGCTCGCACCAGTCGGCTCGGATCGAAACTGGTACTGGGCACAAACGGTTGCAACCTCGGGAAGATATACTCTGAGAATAAGTAGGCATTGACCGGTGAAACCACCTGAACCATCTCCAGGAGCTGAGCGAGGGCACGGATGGCAGCTACCTTGACTCTATCCGTGCGGTCGTTCAGAAGTATCATAATATATGGAAGGATCCTGTCCAATTTGGCCTCATCGGACAATCTCTCGGCGAAGGCAAGCAAAATGTCGCAGGCCTTGATCCTGGCGGATGATTTCGATGTATTACGCAGGTTGGAGACAACGAGGGCCAGGAATACTAGCACGCCGTCATCTCCTTGTGGCTGGGACTTTGTGGCCGTAAGCCCGTAGTGAGGAAGATCTAATTCCACAGGAAATGTATCGCCGGTGAGCTTGGGGCGATTGCGATTTGATCCATCTTTGGTAGTCGCTGGTGGGGCACCAAGGAAGTAGGATATTTTATCGAAGTCAAGGTAGACTCTTTCAATGCGGTCATCGGCCTCTCCTCGACTGGTAAATCCTGCTTCAACCTGTGCCCTACCTGACGATGGATCCGTCATAAGAGACATGTATTGGTGTAGAAAGCTGTAGAAGTATTCGGGGAACGCCTTGTTCTTCCAGAAATTCAGGTACTCTTCCGCGGAATATCTGGACTCAGGATCGAGCTGTATCATATGGAGGATCAAGGCACGGATCTCCGGGTCCTCAATTTTGATCAACTGGCTATGTTCTGGGCTATATTCACCTTTCCGGTACTTGTAAATCTGACTCAATGTGAAGATAGGAGCCTCTAGAAAGAGTTCGGCAATGACGCAACCAGCACTGAAGATGTCCATAGCCCAGTTGACATGTCGGCTTCCAGGTTCTTCACCGGCTTCGAGAAACCTTTCAGGTGCCAAGTAGCAGGTCCGACGACCGGACGTGTCGAAATAGAATGAGAAATCCGCCGGATTATCTTCCGGAAGAAATGTGGGTTTGAAGGAGGATGAAAAGTCAGAGAGGTAGAGCCAATTCCAAGACGTGACTAAAACATTCTCGGTTTTGATATCGCCATGGAACACGTCGAGCGAATGACAGTCTCTCAACGCGCATAGGAGTTGAAAGGCAATCCACTTCTTCTCAATCTCCTCGGGAAAGGGACGGGTACTGTGCACTGTGGTCAGTTGAGCATACTATCATGACGAATCTTCAGCAGACATACCTCATCCGGTCATAAAGAGAGCTATGGATGTATTGGCGAACGAGATAACCACCGGTGCTGGTCTCGAGTATCCTCTGATAACTCAAAGCATTGGGTACGTCGGCCAACAGCTTGCGCTCACCTACCGCCGGTGTTAGCACCAGTGCGCATGCGGTGCAGTTGATCGTCACTATCGGAACTTACGAAGAATAGCTTTGATATATGGCTCCAGCTTCATACTGGGGTAAGGCTTCATTATAACCTTTACGAAAACGAGACCATTGTGTTGTCTGGCTCGGATACTTTTCATGAACCTGCCACCACCCATGGACTTCTCATACGCCAGGTCCGATAACTCGGGAACATCGATCCCCGCCGAACCCGCGGACAGGGTGGTGAGTGAATAGCCTTGGCCCATGGTGTTGATGCGCCTTCATCTCCCAGATACGGCAGAGCAAGATTCGACCTGTCACATCAAGGTTGTTGGAGGTAATTTCAAAGCAGTTTGTGAGACGGTAGAGGAAAAGATGCTTTGGCTGAAAGAGAGAGAGCCAGGCCAGGAAGAAAGGCGGTTGGTTGATTGGGTCTGGGTCATGAGTGGATAAGTTAATGTGAAGAAGCCGCGCCCGACACGGTTGGAGCTCCCATGTTGGTCACATGATTCAAGGAAAGCGGTGAGGCGGTTTCGCTTCGGCTGTCATACAGATAGATTATCTACACTGTAGTCTCATCCATCCACTCAGTACTTATGGTGCTTGCTTGGATGTGGCTCTTTCTCAAAGCTATCGTTATCGCCAAGTGCAACTCTTTCCAGAATAGAAGTGGAATGTTTTATTGCTTGAAAGGATTCCCCTTGCCTACCGATGATTCAATCCGTTGATGTGGAGCTGAGATGATCACTCTTGGTCGAGTACTCACCTTTCAACAAAAGTGAGGCTCGATCAGCTGTACATCTTCTTGTTGTCTCTGGCGAACTAAAACTCCACCAACTCAACCAACTCAACAATGCTTTCATCATTGGGCACGGATGGGAGGTGGCTGCAATGGCGTCCCGTAGAGCTTGTTTCGCCGGCGGGTTTATGGCACCAAATGAGCCAATCATGCCGTCGATGCTGAGACTCTCGCCATCCTCCCGGGAACACCTCAGATACCCGGCCACTTATTTAGAACGGTCGCTACACTGCACAGACAAGCTCAGTCAACACAATGGACATTAGTCCATCATTCTAAGTGAGCACCTCTCTACGTTATCATCTTCCTCAATACTTCTCTACTTTTCTGGCTGACAACCACTTATGCTAGAAAAAGTACCTCTCCAGGTACAGTACTATCGGTGCCATTCAGTACCTTGCTCCCGGTAAGGTTGACATGCATCCCTGAAGAGTTGTTCACCGACAAATCATTCGCGGACCCTTCGAAAAACTAGCAGCTGGACAAGAAAAATCAAAATTTCCCGGACGGAAAAGGAAAAGAGCACAAGATTGTATTGAGTTACTGAATTTACGCTCTGTCCTCGTCTGCTGCTATTCCTTTTCTTCTCGTTACTTTGACGTGTTAGCTTTCTGGTGTTCAAGGTCACTGTTTCCCGCTTCCTATTTACAACAAGGGTCATCACTAACACTAGTCATAGCCAGGTCGTACAGAATTGAGGGCCACGGGCCTACTTTACTCGACTGATGGCTTCTTTCGGGATGGAGTCCTCCATGGCGTCACTTCCGCCCGTCGATCAAGACCACATTGAGGTCCCTATCATTGATGACAATGAGCCCCTCATCGAGGTCGTACGCAAACTTCAAAAGTAAGTTCTTGCCCCGGCATTCCGTTAATACTAGTCATGCTGACTGGCTACTGTCAATTAGCTACATGATACAAGCGGTCTCCGAGGTCTCATATTCTTTTGAGGAATTAAGATTCTCACCTTGCGGACAGAAGCTGAGGTTACTGCTGTACTCATTGGCAGAGAACTCGCACAACCCATGTATCATCTCTGCACTGATGTAAGCATTTTCATGCATGTAGCTGCATGAATCTCAGGGCTGACCCGCTGCAGGATCCTGAAGTGGGAGTTCAACAATGCAGCCGAAAATGACTGGGGTTTGAATGAAGGCCGCGGCTATGCATGCGAATACGTAGCATGGCAGTTTCTCTGTCACATCAATCAGCGCGAGACTATCGAATACTTGCTGGAGGAGCTACCTAGCCCCGTGTATACCTCGATTAGCCTCACCCAAGCGGAGAGAGGCGCATCGGGTTTCGCAGCGGCAGGCGACGCGCAAAGTTTCCAACGGGAAGGAGAACGAACACCCCTCCTTCTGCATTCATCGTCTTCGCTGTACCGATTCTTCGGCGGGAAGAGGCGTGCAGGTAGCGCCTCGGATATAGCGAATTCTGGAAGTAACGTTTCCTCTGCGGACGCGTATGAGCTTATGAAGTACTCCATGTTCTTTGGACTGAGCGCCTTGGAAATAGCAGCCATCGCAGAAGCAAAGAAGTTCCTCAGTCAGAAAGTTGTTCAAAAGGTCATTGATAATATCTGGAACGGGGAGATTGTGTTCTGGGACTCGCTCAGTGTTCATTCCACCAAGAAACCTCAGTTCTTCAACAAAAGGTAGGAATCCCTTACGCCAGCGAGCGGGAGCATTTCGCCGGTTGCTAAGAGTCATACCATATAGGACCGCGGATCCATACTCCCGCTTGAGGGTCCCAGTATACCGCAAAGCCTTTGAGGCTGCATTCTTCGTCTCCTTCCTGTTTCTTTACTATGCTGTTTTGGTGGAGAGAAAGTCCACCGGAATAGGCATCTTCGAAACATTGATGTACATCTGGATTGCTGCTTTTGCCTACGACGAATTCAGCGGCATGACTGATGCGGGGATGGTCTTCTACCAGATGGACTTCTGGAGTGTCTGGAACATAGCCATCATCGGTACCGGTCTTGCCTTCATGATCATAAGTGAGTCATGCTCGAAGATCAGGAATCTGCCTCGTCGCAGTGCCCATCACCCTCAGCTGAGCACAGTCTCTGTGCAACCAGATTTTTGGCAGGGGCATTTGCATATTCTCCATCAACTAACTGAACGGGGAATATCAATAGGGGTTATCGGTCTGGCGAAGAAGAGCGATTACATCACTGACCTATCTTTCGATATCCTGTCTCTGGAGGCTTTGTTTCTAGTTCCTCGGTGAGTCCGGAGGCCCCCTGTGCCAGCAAGCTGATACGTGTTTCAGCGGACTCTGACACATGGGAGCTGAACAGGATCTGCTCCCTGGTGAGCTTAAATTCCTATTTTGGAAGTCTGGTATGCCATGCCTGCGGATTATGCATGCTTTTGAGGAGACGGGGCTGACTTCCATGCATAGATTCCGGTTCTCAAGGAGATGGTGCAATTACCCGGCTGCCCCGTAGTTGCAGGTGGCGAGGAAGCTGATAGAAGACATTCTAGACCAAAGCGTTCTTCCGATTTATCCCTGTGATTGTAGTGTTGTACCTAGGTGGGTAACCCCAAATGCCGCATCCGAGAAAGCCTGATGCCAATGCGGCGGGGGATGTTCCTGCAGGGTTCTTGACCACGTTTACCATGCTTGCCCGTGACCGCCTCTCTCTCAGGCAAATGTCATGGATTTTGGTGAAGGTGTTCTTTGGGTATGGCGGTGAAATTCCCTGGTTAGCGACGACTCTTCCCTGGAGCTAACAGTGCGAGGCAGGTCGAACGTGCTGGGCTTCGTGGGTTGCCCCTTGTCTCTTGGATGCTCGAATTTCTGCAAGACTGACGGTGGCTGAAATGATTGGAAACAGGACATCGCTCACGATGTAAGTCTCATGCACTAGCCGGGCGCCGTGCAATCTTGATTGGAAGATGGCAAGGATCGCCGGAATCGATTGGCTCTCGAGTGAAGTTTTACTGATGCACTAATTCTTAGATTTCCCCGATCTTCGGCTACGGTTTGATGTGTGTTGTTCCCTTTTACTGCTGTTGCTGTACTACACCTCCGTACTGCGCCACAGATGCCATGGGACGTGCCGGTCGCATACGCCTGTGATCACGTTCGGCGTTTCCCCTGTCGATTTACCCTGTTCATCCTTCATCTCAGTTCCAATTCTGTTCTTGCTCAGGTGCATCTGAAGGTGGCGATGCCAACATCAGACATCATAGGGTCGTGGACTCAATGCTCTGAAGGCCCGGTGGTGAGCGCCGGTGTTGCCGGGCCGCCAACAAGACGCAACTTTAGCACGTCAAGCCTCACACCATCTCGGCATCGATGCGAACGACTACGGAACCCATCACTCCCCAATTATAGCTCGGGGATAGTGGCTAATGGGCCTTGGTTTGCAGGTTAATTTTTGTCTCCATGACCAATTTATTGTTGCTCTCGTCGTTGGTCAGCCTTATGAGCATGAGTCTAGAAGGGGTATGTTGATTGCGCACGGTGGCTGATTTGCGCACTTCCTAATCTGTCAACTGCTAATCGGAATTCGCTCCATCTTTCAGGTCATGGCTCATGCGAGAGAAGAGTACCTCTTTCAGTGAGCATTCCATTTGGGCGACATGCAGAAAACGAAAAAGAAAAACAATAACTTACACCAGTACAAGACTGTCGATCTACGTCTTGGAAAGCAGCAATTCGCGAAGGCTGACCTACTTCATGCCCCCTTTAGTCAGTCTATGGTGATCACTTGAACTTGCACCAGAGCACGAGTCGCTAACAGCAAGACTCGCTACGCTATAGAACCTCATCCCTCTTCTCTGTATCCGGCCCTTGAGGCTCTTCCTGTCTGCAGAGCATATTCGCCGAGTCCGCATCGTGTTGCTCCGAGCAACCCACCTACCGTTTGTTGCACTGATCTGGGCCTATGAATCTAGCCGCCGCTATGTTTCGCGGCGAAATAGTCAGTTTCCACCAACGGCCACGACAGGAGGGAGCAGTCGCCCGACCTCGTCTTTCCAAGCGGGCTTCCCTCCCTCCACGCACCATGCCCCGCTGCAGAGCTCCGCAAGTGAGGGGCAGTTCTCCAGACCTACTAAATCCAAGGAGCGCTCTCACTCGGAGATACGCGGATCATTCCCAGGGCAGGCTGGACCGGTTGACATTCCGGATATGGTCGATGAAATAGAGAGGTTGCGAGTTCAAGTAGAACGAGTGGCTACAACCGTGGCCTTTCTCCATCGAGCTCATTAACGAACGCTAAGTTAGCTCTTTCCAGCTGGCGAGGGGCTAGGCTAGAACATGGAGACGGTTGTGCCGTAGGCCTGTTAGGCACACGCACTCGCCGCAGGGCCGGCTTCATAGCCTAAGCTTTAGCGCGGGCACCGGCCAGCGACCAACTCGAAAATGGCTTACGTTCTTGAGCTTCGAAGCTTTCACTCGCACGCAAAGATTTGTTCTATTGCCTAGATGGTTGAGCGTTCTTGTATTACTGTCCCATTAACAAGATACACTTCCTGAAGATGATTGTACATAGTTGATTAGATTCCTTTTGCTCTTTACGCGGCTCAGATGTCTTTGTGTGACAACCTCACTCTGGTGCATTCTTGCATTTCCTGTTCCTTTAGTCTGGCTGTCGATGCTACTTTGGTCCATGTACAGTACAGTAGGTGGTGCTCTTGGGATGATAAGACACTTCTAGACCTTCAGATGCCTTCCACTGCTTAGGAGAGTTAGCACTACAGTTAGGTCGTAAACATGGCACTTTTTAGGTAAATACAGAGGTTGTTCTTTCTTGTAAGTCCTTGCATTAGTCACAGTGGGCTAGGAATTCGATACAATTTCTTACAATTTCTACTCGATTAAGGAGCAATCATACTGGGTGATGACAATAATAATGGGACCATGCCATTTTTCCCAGTTCCAAGGTTGGTAGGAGGATGGCCGGGGATTAGGGCCGGGCGCCCCTCATTGCCCTGGTTCAGACACGCCCAAGACTGTACCCGTACCCGGGGGGGGGTCACGGGTAACTTTGAGAACCACCCCCCCCCCCTCCCTTCTCCCCTTCTATTCTTCCCTCCTCAATCATCTCTTTCCCTCTCTCTCCGCTAAACTGAACTTCTTCATCAACGAAGATAAGTCCGCCTTAAACATGAATCTTCATCTACAACTATATCCCCCAGCAACCCGGGCCACGCTCTTGTCACCAACATTAATACTCTGCTACGTGACCGTGATTCTGGATATTAATTCCTGTCCTCTCGTTTCCTCAGCCATGGGGGCAGTGTTTGTCAATCATACCTGGCGACACGCACTGTTGCGTTGCCAAGCAAGGTACCAGACTGTCGGGTCCCAGCTATTCCTTTTCCATCCGCAGCAAAAAGACTGAGAATGAATCAGACGAAAGGGAAAAAAAAAGGAAATCGCGCCCGACTAGTTCTGCTATTGGGGAAAGCAGCGGTCCCATTCAATAATTATGATGCAGGCGCTGCTGATGCTCGTCGTTCTCCAGCAGTCCTGGGTGGAACAGGCAATGCTACCTCTTCCCCCCTCTCTCCCTTTCCCCCGTCTATCGACTGGGGTTGATTCCGTTTCCCTCTTTTTCCCCTCCTCTTGTTCAAGCTCCGTCGGCTGCCGTTTGTGCTCCTCTTCCCCTCTATCCGCTGTCAAGTGCGTGTCGGGTCCCCATTACCGTCGATTTCATTCAGACCAACCGCCACACCCTCACGGCGGTGTTATCCGATGTCAATCGAATCATGCATCACTCTTCCCCACCCACACCTCTTTTTGTTGGTCTTTTTGGCCCAGGGTAAAAAGAGTGACTGGCAACTTGGCCTGATCACATCCTTCCGGCGCTAATTAATTGTGCATAATATCTAATTGTCGCGTCTATATGGATGCTGCAGACCAGAGGCTGCAGTCCACTTGGTTCGGCCCTACCCAGCTAGGCCTTGCACACCCCCTTCGCGTCAAGTCCCTCCTCACCCATGCAAGACTGTCTCCTCAAGTCTGCCTTGCCTGACAAGGCGTCGGTTTTCTTGCTTCTACCTCACCCTTCTCTGCCCCATGCGGCGGATGCTGTACTCCAACTGTCATATGGCAATCTAGTCGTCATTACTCTCAGCCGCTTTTTATCGTGCGCCACTATTGCGATCGCACAGCAGCGTTGCTACCGGATTACTTTGACTCTTCATTTTTTTTATATAATTATTCCCGCTGTCACAGCTCAGTCACACCTCTCGCATTGTTTACTCACTTGTTGATCGTCCTTGGCTTTGATCAAGACGCTGTGAAAGATATAATAGCTTCAGCATCCTTCCCACCTTGGTTCATGCTTCTCTTGCCCGTGTCTTCATCATTTCTCGTCACGTTTTTCAAGACCTCCGGCTGCTTCTTCAACAACCATGAGCTTCACACCTTTTTCATACCCGTCACCTTCGCCCTTTGCTAGCTCAGCACCGGATGACCACTCGATCCTAGATGCCACTTCAGCTTATGCGTCCTCTATGTATGCGACTTCCTTCGATATGCAAAACATTCAACAGCTGGCTGGCTTGGGCATATCACACTTCGGCATGGGAAATACTGCGTCTGAGACGGAACTGTATGCGCATCCAGAACCTCCTACCTTGTCAGCCAACGCTTGGTCGAATACAACATTCAGTTCCGAGAACTTCCTCCAACCCCCTCCAGAATACAGGCTCTACTCTTCAACAACCATCTTTGAACCGTTTAGTGGTGTCATGGAGGCCGCTCCCTCCCCGTCAAGCTTCTATAGCTCACATACCTTAAGTTCGTCGCCGAGTCATGGTTCGAGTACCGAGACCGAGGGCCACCACGAAATTGCGCCGGATGACGGGTCATCCGTGTGGCCTCGCACGCCGACTTCTAATTGTCCGGATATGCCAGTAGACTATATCATGAAGGAGGACTCGCATGGATTGCAGGGACCGCCTGTGCGCCAAGGTTCAGCTTCCAATGCATCTGCTACACTTTCCCAGATGCCACCTATGCCTCTTAGCAACACAAGCCCTGGGCTACAATGGCCTCCCATCGATAGTCGCAGCAACTCAGCTGGGTTGGTTTCCGACCAAGGAAATGCACTCGGACGAATCCCCTGCGAAGTAATCTCAAGGTGGATCGAGGAGGTGGCCAGAACCCCCGGTGAAGGGTTGAAGATACCACCTGCGAGTGGCCTGAAGTGCAGTGTGTGCGGATTCCGGTTCACTCGACGCTCTAACTGCCGGGAGCACGAGAAGAGGCATGACCCTAAGCTAAGGAAGTCTTTCCCATGTGATATTTGTGGAAAGACATATGGGCGGAACACTGACCTTCGGAGACATGTGCAGAGCGTAAGTGGTAAATCTTGGTCTACAAGGTCCAGTTTCTGACAGTCGCAGGCCCACATTCAGGAGCGTAAACACTACTGCGACCAGTGTGGGCAGAATTACAGCCGACAGGATACGCTTAATAGGTATGTTGACAACTTTCCGTGCCAGTAAGCTCGACATGCTCAGATGCTGACACTGGGATAGACACAAGCTAGACGGATGCTCTCGGAAGATGCGAAAGTGCAACCCTTCGTAAAGGGTTTTAAGATCAGCAAGATACGGCATTCGCGGATTTGTTTTTCACCGGATGATTCATCGCCACGAATGGCCACCAGCATCGGTATTCCTTTGACCAGCAGTGGGAGAAAACCCAACCGCTGCACAAGTTTTGGCACCGGTCAAGCCCTGCGTTGACCGCAAGCATGACGACCACATGTTTTTACACGCCTGTATGATTTCTTGGGAGGTTACCGTCGATACTAGCACATCACATTCTGGGAGGACTTTGTTTATATCTACACGTCTGTTGCAAGGAGGACATCTGTTTTCAAATCTCTCTGTTTACTTTCCATGGCAATTGTTCTTGTTTTGGTTTTGCCGTCTGAAGAGGTTCTTGCGTTGGCATTTGGTCTATCTGGTTCCGAGCTTGAAAGTTTCCGCGGCTCGTATAGAGCACATGGGAGGGCTTTAGAGCCTCAACGCTCCCGCGTGGCAGGTCCATGCGGAAGCAAGGAGAGCAGAATGTAGGAGATTCGCACAGCACACACACAATCGATTCATTGTTCCTTTCACTCGAACCAAAGATTGTATCACAGTGCTGGGAATAGATGGCATGGCAAGACAATCGCGCAAATCTAGCTCGACACTAATAGACGCTAGGCTCGAGTAATGTCGGACTCGAACAGAGAAAGACGGAACCAGGCTGCGAAAGACACGGGCTGAAAAGAAGTCCTAGAGTGGCCGCCAAGGGTTCTTCATCTTGGCCGGTCGGTCAATGCCTTGGGGAGTGGGGACCACTCCCATCCACAAAAACCTGCAGACAGACTGACCAACGAATCTCGTCTACATCACTTTTCTCGTTCTTCGTCCCAAGTGTCTGTGTATAAGTGTGAACAAGTGTACAGCACGTACACCCAAACCTCTGAAAGTTCGACTCCGAGCGCCGACCGACCGACCGACCGACCGACCGACCACCGAATTATGGAAAGGCGGAAAAATAGGGCCAGTAGTTCCGGTACAGTCTCCGTAGGTACCTGGCTGGCTATTCCTCATAGATAGATAGGTACCTAGGTACCTAGTCAATCCGCTTACTTACCCGCCCTAACCCCGAACCGTCGTCCCCTGAGCAAGCTCCAAGGAGTAGTCCAGGCATTATACCTCCTCTTTTGCCCGCATCGAGACTAGTTGGGTAGTAACACCCGAGAAGTTCCAATTTCCCCGACGCATATACGGTACGTACTCGATTAAAGTCTTCGCCCCTACCATGGTTCCATCTCAGGGCTAATTCAAACACCGTCGGTGGTCGATTTGTTGTCAGCGACTACGGATATTGGTTTCAATTTAGCTCTTGATTCATTTGCCGTCCAAGTGCGGGTTCCTTTATGAGGTTTGAGGTGTGGCCGGACATCATCGGACTTCTGCTTTCTTTCTTAGAAGTTGGGGTCGGAGTCGGATTGAGGTGGGTCCCTTCGATTCCTAGGTAAGAAGGCTTCGGGGTTATTTTGTGGGACTTGCTTGCCTGTTTCTGCTTAGGTTCGGGGTGTTTTCGTGGGGGTTTTTGGTTCATGTTCTGAGTGGGTTCAAGGTTTTTGTTTTGATATGAAATATTGTATCAGGGGTTAGGGTAGGTAGGTCTATGGGAAGGGTAATACTGCGTGTGTAGTGTGGAATGGTGCTGGTGCGGGTGCTGGGGAACAATAACGTATAACAAAGTAAGCTCAATACAACAAGAGTATATAGATGGGCTGCAGGTGATATGACCAGGATCATAGCTCTGTAAATGCTTGGATCCTCGTCCGGGGACTCGATGCAAGTGATGCATGCACTGTACCTTGCTTCTATAGATGTTGGGCTTGGAAGGATTGGAACATACAAGCATGGCAAGGTCGCTCGGAGTTTAAGGATCCCAACTTCCCCCCACGTCCGCGTGGTTAATTCGGTTAATGGCTGCAGGTGCTGTACCTCGCCGCTTTCACGGATACAAAGGGGATGGTTGTTTGCTCGGGTGATGGGAAGTGTGTATACTGAGTACCTGGATGCTTGTATAGTGCTTGATAGCTCATCTCATGCTGACATGGTTTGTGCAGATTCTCTTGGACGACCTATGCAAGGGTGCTCGATTGTGACAAGCTACGATACTCGGTGACAGAGCAGGCAGCGAGGAATGTATCTGCTTTGGCTGCGGGACTGCAAGTCCCAGTACAGCCAGCCAGCCTTCGAGCAGTCGCCCAAGTCACTGCTCGAATCCATATCTCGAGTTATCAGCAAGCTAGGATCACTTCCTCCCATTGTCTCGAGAGAGCTGCTTGTGGGACTGAGGACCACTGCTATGCGACTACGAGCTGAGCAGCATGTGCGTCAAAGCCCCTCGTTATCAGTGAGCAACACATTCCCGGCTCTGAAATGCACTGACTATCTGTTTCGTTGGCATCCAGACCCCGTCAGTTCCTCATCTCATCCCCAGAAAGCACAAGCGACGCAGGCAAGTGGTGCAAGCATTTAAATCAGTCTCGCTGCAGATCAGTCGTTGCTCAATCGAGAGCCGAGAACTTTTTCTTTGGTGCCAACAACCTCAAGCCCAGCGCATGACCTCCATTGTTGCAAGGCCATAGGTCGGATGAGCTGCAAAACACCCCTCTCATGCAGTCGACTCCCGGAACAACGCAACGCAGCCATGCTGTGCAACATTCCCTCAGTTGTAAAAGAACTCCGCACGAGTTGATATTCTGCCACCGCCCGGGGGATGGGGGCCGCCCCCTCTCTCCCATTCCCCCCGCGGAAAAATGAAGGGTCAATAATAATAAATGACAACCCGCCTTCGCCTTCGCTCCTCCTCCTCCTCCTCCTCCTCCTCCCCCCCGACCCCTCTTCTTCCTCCTTCAGCTTTCAACATCCCCTCAGTCCAGTTGGAAACTTTCACAATGAGCGCCACAACAACTGTCACCGAGACGCCAAGAATCACGGCGGAGAATGTCGCGACCCTCTTCCCCGAGGTCGACACTTCGCTCGCTCGTGAGGTTCTCCCGACTGCGACAAGTGCTGCCGCCGCTGGGTCCAGCGACGATCTGGCCGGCTACGACGAGGAACAGGTCCGTTTAATGGATGAGGTGTGCATTGTTTTGGATGAGGACGACAAGCCTATCGGTAGTGCCAGCAAGAAGGCCTGTAAGTTTTGCCCCTTGAAGCTTCAGTTTTCAGGGAGAAAATAACAGCAGTGGCGTTTGCCGCTTATCCCTCCCTTCTCTCTCTCTTCGAAAGATCTTTGTGCGGCCTACATCTCGATCCAAATCGCTGACATTGTATGGTTCGTATGACTAGGCCATCTGATGACGAACATCGACCGCGGCCTCCTGCACCGCGCCTTTTCGGTCTTCCTCTTCGACTCCAACAAGCGCCTGCTCCTGCAACAGCGCGCCACCGAGAAGATCACATTCCCGGACATGTGGACGAATACCTGCTGCTCGCACCCGCTGGGCATCCCCGGTGAGACGGGCTCGGAGCTGGATGCCGCGATCCTCGGGGTCAAGCGCGCGGCGCAGCGCAAGTTGGATCAGGAGCTGGGCATCAAGGCCGAGCAGGTGCCGTTGGACAAGTTCGAATTCTTCACCCGCATCCACTACAAGGCGCCCAGCGATGGCAAGTGGGGGGAGCATGAGAGTGCGTTACCCTTTTCTCTGGCCTATTCGTTACACGAAAGCTTACAGGTTACCATCTCTAGTTGACTACATCCTCTTCATCCAAGCCGACGTCGACCTGAACATCAACCCCAACGAGATCCGCGACACCTGCTATGTCTCGGCCGAGGAGCTGAAGCAGATGTTCGAGAAGCCCGGCCTCAAGTTCACGCCCTGGTTCAAGCTCATCTGCAACTCGATGCTGTTCGAGTGGTGGAGCCACCTCGGCTCGCCTTCGTTGGAGGCCTACAAGAATGAGAAGGAGATTCGTCGGATGTAGGGGGTTTCTCCGCTGTCCAGTGTGACGGTCTAGTCTGCATTTCATACCATACATATCTTAATATCCCTGTTTCGTTGCTGCTGTGCTCATCATGGGCGAAACCCTTGGCTTTTTTTTGCAGTGTTTCCATTTATTCCCCTACTTTCATAACTACATGGCTAGCGTTTCGATGCTCAAGATCCAAAACAACAGTCACGTTTACCGTGACATTGATGCTAAAGACAATTGACGGAATACTCGCTCGTGTCGTACATATCATAAACCGGCCTAGACTTTGCCCTTGCCCTTCACCTGTGTCCTTCCCTGTTAGCCGCTCCCTTGAAATTGTGGTGCATAATGCATGCCCTCCCCCCACCCCCCCCCTTCCTCAACCCATGTTCCTTTGAAGTTACCGAGAAGTCTTCGCATCCGTCGCCAAAAACAACACACAACACGCCAAAATCACCGTCCCGACCACCGTAAACATGACCTGGGTCTTCCACCCGCTCTGCACCAGCGCCGCCTGCTGGCTGTACTTGCGCACAGTGCGGATGTAATTCGCGAATCCAGTCACCAAACACGTCAAACTCAGCAGCCAGAACACGATCCCCAGCGGCAGCGCCATACGCCGCTCCAGCCCCGTCGGCGGCGTCTGGAAGTGGAACGAGATGATGATCGCGATCGCCACGACGCCCAGGTACATGGCCAGGCGCAGCCAGGAGAGGAAGGTGCGCTCGTTGGCGCAGTGGTCGCGCGCGTCCGAGGTGAGGTTGTCGAAGAGGAGGGCGCCGCTGAGGGGGCGGGCGAGGAAGATGTGCGTGTTTGGGTGGGGGGGGCTTTGAGGGTAGGTGTGTTAGTTGGGGGTTGAACGGG